TTAATGGTTTTTTTATTTTTTTTTTTTTAAAAAAAAAAAAAAAAAAAAAAAAAAAAAAAACCCCCCCCCCCCCGCAAGGCTTTTTTTTTTTTTTTTTTTTGTAAATGAAAAAGAGAAAGGTGGAAGTCGAGAAACACTAAGTCTTAGTGAAGTAACCTAAGCTATTCATCCACAGTTTGTCACAAAATGGACAGCAGCTAGGATTAAAAGCAGCTGATGATCAGAACCTTAAAAACGTAACCTTTTCTCCCAAACCCCTTCAAAACCAGTGGGGAACATGTTGCCAATAGATGGTCAAAACATCGGAGAGGCGGAAGAGGCTTCTACTGCTTTGCTTTTGCTATACAGTTAACTACCTGTTTTGAAATTGATGGAGAAACATAGATGATAGGGGCTCATTGCAGGTAAGCGCTGGACAAGATAAACAGAACACGTTCTGCTTATGGGCAGTTAAATGTAAAAATGAAGGGTTCAAGGATAATCTGTCATGGTACAGACAGGTTCCATCACACCAAAGGACACCATCTAACTTGCAATTATCAGTGGTCATGAGTCTTAGGCTCTTGGCAAAGTAGATGCTTAAGTCTGAAAAACGAAGAGAACTACCGCTTTCCAAGTGTATTTGTGTTCCACAGCCCCAGATGAGCCTTAAGCTTCACAAAACCTCATTTTACATCCAACATACAGTAAATGACTAGTCCTAGGAATATTTAATGCTATGCTTTATTTTCAAATCAAAAAAGAGAGCTCAGCAGCTACTAATTTGAGAAACATTGGGGAAAAAGTGTTTGTAATTTAAATTATATCAACTAAAATAAATTACAAATTAATTCATTTATTACAAATCCCAAGCAGGTTACAACAAAATAACTTGCAATACTCGTAATGATTGTAAAGGCAACCTCCCCTCGCCCCTCCAAAAGCTCCGGCTGCCCCCCACAAAATGCAGTTTTACACTTACCATTTCATCAGCCAAAATACCATTCAGCCCATGTTTATGCAGGAGTGCTAACCAGTTCAATCCAATCTTCTGATATGGCTTGAGTTCCAAACTGTCGGAAATGAACCAGTTCACCATGTTATCATCTTCTGTTTCTTCACGAAACACAACTGTATGTTTATCTTTATCACAGAATGGCAAGTTTAACTTTTTCTCTATTTTAACCCACTCCAGACCTCCTAGTGAACTGAAGATCGCCTCAATATTTAATCAGCCACTGGAATACCAAAGAGCACTTCTGAACTTTAAGTAGTTTCCTCAATCCTCATACATCTTAAACCATCAAAACGAACACTAGAGTAAATTCTTCTTTTAGGTTTTAAATCTGTGATCCACTTACATAGAACTAGTAATTTTTAAAATTTAATTTTTAAAATACATGACAAATTAAGCAACATTTAGCAGCTGTGTTTACCATGAATAATCATACAAACTTAACTCAGCTGTTATTCTGGCCATTTCTACTTTTTAATCTATGCTTAGGGGTTTTTATTTTCCTCCCTGATCAGTGCCCATTTCTATCCCTCCTAAGCTCTCTGCTTATCCTCAATATCCTTTTGGATATTATTACCTATTACTTGTTTGAAAGAAATCCTTACCTCCAACACATCCCCCCAGCAGTGCATCTCCCACTGAATGCAGAATTCCAGATCATTTTGTACATCTGAAATTCCTGAATGAGGTCTTCAGTCCAGCTGATAACTTTTTAAAGTTTGTTCAGATTTACTGCAGTTTGGCATCTTTGAAGTAGAAAGTCCTTTCTTATGGGAGCAGTTTTACTCGGTCTTTTGTTTAAACTAGTAGGCTGACAACTCATGATCTCATTCCTTAAGGATGGCTTCTACATTCACCAAAAACTGCAGCAAGTAAAACTAAGCATCCAGCACTGCAGAGCACCTTTGGCGTTCTTATGATCCTCACCCAACTTTCCTAATACAGTTGAAAACTTGTTGAATTCCCTCAAGCATTGCACATGCACTGCTGTCTGTATTACTGAGAGCTGCTAGGTATTGAACACTTAAAGCTCTTTCAGCTGTGATAAGTTTTGAAAATCCTGGCCCTCAAGCACACCTTCCTATCTAACACTTTTTTAAATACCAAAAACTACCCAGATACCTCTGATTCAAAACGGAGGGTTGCTCTATGTTCCATCCACATTCTCCATCTTCGGTGATCTTGGTTACTTGTTTTGTCAGTCTGTTTGAAATGTCTTCACATTTATTCATGAGTTTTAGAACCACATCCCTCTCTTTCAGCAGTATCTTGCAGTTCCACACTATGTCTTCCGACAAGCCTGTAGTTTTAGTCATTTTCGTAAACTGCAAAACAATCAAAAAAGAAAAACCACACTGTGATACTAGACAGGGAAGTAGCAGACAAATTACTACTGGTTGGCAACTCTCAGCATTGTGCCAGTTACCTTTCAATTCACAAACCTTTATAAAAATCATACTGCCACCAAAAAGAACTTTTGTTTTGTTCCTTCTACTCTCAGTAAGTTTTTCCTAATCCTATTAAAAACTGCAAAACAGCACAAAGGGTGAAAACATCTCAGCACTTCCCTGTACCCACAACAAGTAGTGAAAACCAAAGTGCTTTATGCACATGCTATTTTTCCCTCTGTCTATCTGTAGCTTATCAAGGATTGAAACAGAATAACTCTGGCTAAACCATTCTCTGCTTGTCTGTCTCCTGTCAAACAAAGCAGCAGAGTAGAGAGTGGAATAGGAAAAATTAATAGCTACTATCAGATATAGCTTCCAAATTTCCATGCCTAATCAAATATTAGTGTTGCTTGCTAACTATTCTATATGGCACGTATTGACTTTCATTCTGGCAACTGGACGCCTGAGCGCTACTTTCAGTCCCTAACCCGTACATATTCCTCTGTAAGAGGGTCCAAGGAATTAAAACTGGGTCAGACATGCTTGCTCTATACTTCACTAGTCAGTGGTCTCAACAAACTTAAAATTATCTCAAAAGCAGCAAGGAAACTAAGCAATCTGCTTCGCAAGCCCTTACTGCAACTTTTAACAGAAGGGATCAGAGGAGGATTTCTGTAGGGAAGGAAAGAAAGGAATTGCATATTTTGAAACCTGTTACAGTAAGGCTACTCCTATGAAAAACTGCAGCTGCTGCAGGTAGCAAGTAATTTCTTTTAAATAACAGCAGCAGCAGCATAAGGTCCTCTCACAGCTTCAAATATTTGATACATACTTGGCCTATTACAAAACTATGCAAAGACCACACTGAAGATCATCACTCTACAGTTCCTTGCACTGTACACAGTCTTAAAAAAAAAAAAAAACCACCTCCCTGAACACACACACCCAGCCACACGCACTTCTCTGTAGAGTTTCCAATGTAAAAATATCGGAGCATTAAATTCTTAGGGGAGGCATGGGTAGAGTGCAAAGCAAGCTTTTAAGGCAGGGTCCACTAGCGGAACAAAACCACAAAAGGAACAAAAAACTTCTGCTGTCATGAGATCTCCTCTTAAGCAACCCCTACTAAATACTAAAGATGTAAAAGGTGAGCCTAATCTAGGGAACAAAACAAACTACCATATCAAGAAGGCTATTAAGAATAGGATGTTTGCCTAACAGGGAAATAGAACAGTTCAACAAAGAAAACTGACCTATTTTAGTAGGAATACAAGAGTCTCTCTTTGGGTATGCGTCTGTCAGATGCTCAGCATTACTAGGTCCCAGTTCTAACCGTACCACAAATGGAACATTTTAGCTCGACTTAGAGTGAAAAAAAAATTAAGATTTTAGACATAAAAAAAGTTTCCCAAAACTATGTCAGGATTTCTGCAGCCAGCAAGCATCGACATGTCCAAAATATCATCAAGAATTGGTTCATCTTTTTCAATCCTTTCATTCCAGCTTTAGAGATTTTCTTCGCCAAGATACGATTCACCTAATCTCTTTTTTCTTGCAATGAACTTTATCTCCCACGAAAAACAAACTTGCACAAATTATCTACAAGGTCATTAGTACATGCTGATATATTTTCATCGTTAGTACCATCACTCTGACATGTTTTAGCACCATGCAGTTTCTCTCCCTTTTTTTTTTGTACATGCACATTTAAGGTGAGTATTATCCTCGCTCTAAAGAGGGACAAACCAAGGTGAAAAAAATAAATTTTCTAAGTATCACAGCAAACAAGCTGGCAGAGAACAAGTCAAAATATCAGAATCCTGACTTAAATGCAAATTGATCTAATGTCAGTCCTTAACTCTCGAGTGCACCTGGCTAACAAAGTTGAGAGAGACCAGTGTTTGTAGCCAAAAGCACACAGACGAGCCACATGCACAGTTCATATTCAACAACATTTTATTTCCTTGGCCAGCAAGCAGGTATTCCTTATATCTAGATGGAGTATACGTCTTTAAGTGATGTAACTGCTCCATCACCTTGACCTCTAACCCTCCTCAAAACACATTTTCCCAGCCTGACTGTGACTAACTTCTTTTGCCACTTTGCACTCCGAGTTTACTAAAAGAAGTCCTCTTGATGCAGGAGCAAGAGAGGTTGCTTCAGTTACATGTGCTAGAAGATGCAGTAGTCACCTACAACATCCTCTTTTTTTTTTTTTTTTTTTTTTCCA